TTGGCTCCAAAAGCTGTGCAATTTCCTCAACATGTATATGTAATAAGTCCTGTATTTTAGACATGTTTAAACAAGCATATTTCCTTCATACAAATGTTCATATGCCAACATGCGCATGTTTGGACTTGTTTATTTTTCAAGAATCTCAACTTACAAATTTTTGATGATAAAATTGGAAATTTTGAGAAATTTGGCTACGATTTAGATATGAATTCGGTTGAGATTTGGGCATAAATTTGGATAAGATTTGGATGAGATTTGGATGAGATTTGGACATAAATTTGTATAAGATTTGGTTGTATAAGATTTGGACATAAATTTGTATAAGATCTGGACATAAATTTGTATAAGATTTGGACATGAATTTGTATAAGATTTGGACATAAATTTGTATAAGATTTGGACATGAATTTGTATAAGATTTGGACATAAACTTGTATAAGATTTGGACATGAATTTGTATAAGATTTGGACATAAATTTGTATAAGATTTGGACATGAATTTGTATAAGATTTGGACATAAATTTGTATAAGATTTGGACATACATTTGTATATGATTTGGACATAAATTTGTGTAAGATTTATATATAAATTTGGATAAGATTTGGATATGGATTTAGATAATATTTGGATATGGATTTAGATAATATTTGGATATGAATTTGGATAAGCTTTGGATATAAATTTGGATGAGATTTGGACATGAATTTGGATGTGTATTTGGATGAGATTTGGACATACATTTGGATACGAATTTGGATGAGATTTGAACATAAATTTGGTTAAGATATGGATATAAATTTGGACAAGATTTGGAGAAGATTTGGTTATGAATTTGGATAAGATTTGGATATAAATTTGGAAAAGCTTTGGATAAAATGAATCAGCATGTAAATCTTACATTTATAAAATGATAAAATTGACAGTTTTGAATTTCTTTGGAAGATTATTTTGAGTGTATCGTGCTAGACAAGATTTTGTGCAGGCGTGTTTTACAAATTATTTCATCTTTATATACGCATGTGCAAATTTTGAAATGTATTTTGTTCCATGCAACCCATTCTGGGGAAAAAGTGTGGATGAATGATCCGCGTGTCTGTCGCAGAAGTAGATCTCACTTTATTTCGCGAAAATGAAAGAAAACCTCGTACAAGAAAATTACGCAGCATAAGTTTGCAGATTTCAGAATCACATTGCACTTCTCGTCTTTGTGACTCCCCCTTTTCTCGCCTTTTCCCGCAACATGTCTGCAACTTCTTCCATAGCCGCATGAACCCTGTTGCAAAAAAAAAAAAATTGTGAATAAATAAAAAATTGAGACCACTATCTTGTCAATTATTGTTACTTTTTTTTGCTGATGGTCACGTGTGACAATTTTGAAACACAAATTTGTCAATAACCTTGCCTGAACTGAAGCCGGTTCTCAAGCAAGTACGGTGATTTGCCAACCCACAGCGCAGTGCGAAATGAGCTCTGCGCAGCTCGCAAATCCCCCTGGGCTAATTGCAAAACGCCAATTTCATACGTTGCCAGTGGGGCAATGTAACGATCATGTCGCACCCTGGCCTTCACTGCCAATCTCAGGTGTTGCAAGGCTTCTGCAGTTTTCCCCAATGTCCTCAGGCAAACCCCTGAGCCATCCAAAAAAACCAGGGTTATGAAAACAAATTTTCAGTTTTTATATAGAAAGAAAAAAAGGCACCCAGAAAAAAAGAACCCTTTTGAAAATGCCCCACACAGAAAGTGTCCATATGTTGATGTTAAATCATCAACAGACACATCGTACCTTGCAATTTGATCCTAATCCATTGCCAAACTAGGGTTAAATTGCAAAATGGTCAAATCCATGACCAAACTTGGATTGAATTGCAAAATGGTCAAATCCATTGCCAAACTAGGGTTGAATTGCAGAACAGTCAAATCTATTGCCAAACTAGGGTTGAATTGCAAAATGGTCAAATCCATTGCCAAACTAGGGTTGAATTTCAGAACAGCCAAATCCAAGGCCAAACTTGGATTGAATTGCAAAATGGTCAAATCCATTGCCAAACTAGGGTTTGAATTGCAAAATGGTCAAATCTTTTGCCAAACTAGGGTCAAATTGCAAAATGGTCAAATCCATTGCGAAACTAGGGTTGAATTGCAAAATGGTCAAATTGTGAAACACTCTATAAAATCAAGGGCAAACAGCCCAAAAACACTACAAAAGTGGCTAAAACAGGCCAAATTTCAGGAAAGAGGTCAAATTGCAAGCTGACCTCCAAGCAAATTTGACCATCAAATTGTGGGACAATCAAATAACAGGAGGTCAAATTTCAAAGTACCACCTGTAACTGCCACCTAGAACAGGCATTTGAATAAAAAACATAGCCAAAAAGCTCCCCAGGAAAAAAAGGACCCATGCTCTAAAAGGGTCCAATTGATGTACCTTTTAAAAGCTGTTATTTTTTGTTTAAAAACAATTGAATGGACTCAAACCAACCTGTGAATGATCTCATATTGCCTTTACTTGAAAAGGGTACCTTTTAAAATGGGGCCCTTTTTGTGAATTTTCATTGTGTGCTTACTTTTAGAATACAGGGTAATTGGTTTTTTAAAATGCACTTCCACAATAATTAAAAAAAAAAGTATTTTGAAGTCTACAAAAATGTGATCCCATGAATGAATTCCTCTTTTTTCCGCAGGGGTGTTTTGATAAAATACATTTTTGTATGGGGTATTATTATTATTGTTGGTTTGTCTGTCAGCATAGTGAAAACTTTTGATGAGAGTCGCGCGTATTTTTGATGCTGTTGCTGCAGCGTTACCAACCCTTCATGAAATGCCAGAGTCCCAGGTTATCTTCCAAGTAATCCCGTTTGTCAATTTTGTCAATTTCCTTTCTGCCTTGGTTCACGAGTTGGTCGAGTTTGGCAACCACGTCTTGCCTCGAGCCCAACATGAGGAATCCGTTGAAAACGTAAATAACCTCAACCAGTGGAACGATGAGCTTTTGCCCCTGTGCAAAATATCGTTCGGATTTGGCGATTGCAAATTCTTCAAACGACAGTCCTTTGCCGCTGATGGTTCTCTTGAGTTTGGGAACTTCGCGAAGCAATCTCTTGATTTCGTCCAAGTCTTTTTGAGTTGGATTTCCTGATTTTTTTTTTTTAAATTGAAAAAAGGTGATTTTAATTTCGAAAAATTCCCTGGCGCGTTTTTCTCGCATCGCCGTCTACGAGAATTCGGTAATGATCAAACAGATGTCGCTCGTTCACACGTGAAAATTCATCGAATTTTTTCTCTCGGTAATAATTGGCTGGTAATTTGATATACTGTAATTAGAAAAATATTGAGTTTTTTGGCGATGAATGAAATTTTTCCTTCACTGACCGGTGCTTTTTGTCGATCTGATTTTTTATTTTAAAAATATATACCTGAAGACGAAAACCACTGACGAAACCTTAGAAACCGGTTCTCGACTTGAAGAGCCTCAGATGATAAAACTTGTCCAAAAAAACCAGTTTTGCCAAGTCATCGTCTTCGAATTCGCGACATTAATCTATGAGAAACCGAGAACCGAAGGCCACGAGGAAAATCAGCTTCGCAGAAAAAAAAACCAGTTTTTAAGCGCACTTCTGCGTGAAAAAAAAAAAGTATCGGTAAACTTCGAAAACCTGAAATCAGTAGGATTCACTCCATCGCCGAAGACGGAATGAACCTTATATTGATACGAATTGAACGTCGTTTGAATTTCTTCTGTGTGTGAATTCGTGTTTTATTACGTGTGTGAATTTTTTGAAATTTGTCGATTTGATGAGTTATTTTTAATTCGATTTAGATGAGCCTCAACTTTTTACAAATTTTTGGGGAAGCCTGTTTTTTTTTTTTAGTCCCTTCGAATTTCGCTGAAATAGGTTTCAATTACTGTTCAGTGAAAATATATCGTAAAAAATTGTATAAAAAATTAAGAAATTGACGACCGAAGGCCATGATGGTGCTCCAGCTTGACAAAAACAAGTTTTTACACAAATATCTGTGAAAAAATGTGCGTAAAAAATTCGAAAACCTGAAACCACTAGAAATAATTCAATTTCCGAAGACGGAATGAACCGAACTTTCATCAGTAGTATTCATGTACGAATTGAACGAAGTTTAAATTTCATATTTGTGTGAATTTTTGTGAGTTTGTGAATGTTAAAAATTCGCCGAGTTGATTGCGATTTTTTGGTACTTAGATGCATAACTTTTTCTCCCGAGTTTTTGAACAAAACCGTTTTCTTTTCGAGTCTCTTATTCAAAGTTGACCCACCGTGGTTTTAGTTATTTAAAAATATTTTTTTACGAATTGAACATCGTTTGAATTTCTTCTTTTTTATGAATTCTTGCGTTTGTGTAAAATTTCGAAATTCGCCGATTTGTCAACTATCTTCATTTTATTTTATTTAGATGAAATATATATATATATATATATATATATATTTATATATTTTTATATTTTTATTTTATTTAGTTTTAATTTTATTTTTTTCCCCAAGTTTTTAGAGGAGCCTTTTTTCTTCGTCCCTTCGAATTTAATTGACCTGATCAATAATATTTTTACAATTATATTGATATAGGTTTCAATTATAGCCAAAATATGTGTCGCAATAGGATTTTACCTTGCTCATGATTTACCTTTGACATACTGTAAGACTGCTCTCATATAGCAGTAAGTGCACTTTGACCAGTTTGATCTCTTGAGTAGCAGATCCGCATAACGTACTCCAGCATCGTAGTCCAAACTTGTGCAAGAATTGAACAACATTTCCCAGAATGCCGCAGGATGTGAACTGGGCAGTTGAGTTTGCCTTGAAAATTCAAAGATGCCCTTTTTGAATTAAGTTTGTTTGGATTCAATTTACACAACTGTCATCATATGTTAATGACACCAACAGATGGGACATTCATCCTGTTTTCTTGGAATTGCTCAGTGAAACCAAGAATGATTTGTGAGCCTGAGAATGAAATACAGTCAACCCCTGCACAACAGACTGCATTTCTTCTTGAAAAGTAAAAATTTAATTTTTTATGATTGAATTTGCATAACAGACTTTTTACACAACAGACTAGTCTGTTTCATGCATTGAATAAATATAACAAAAAGGGCACAATCATTGCATCTGATTTTTTGAAAGAAGGAAATACAGTGGCCCCACGCCTAACAGACCTCACCTGTGTAAGGGATTTTTGCCAAACAGACCAGCTCTGCAAACAGTTTTTCCTCCCGCCCAACAGACAAAATCCACCAAACAGACTTCTTTTGGTTTAAAATTAGTGTTGAAAATTGAAATTTTCAATTTTTTATGTAATTGAATTTGTGTAAAGGACTTTTTGTCTAACAGACTCGTCCCTTGCACAAATCAAGTCCGTTAGACGGGGGTTGACTGTATTGAACATTGGACAGTGTTGAAAAAAGTTCCACTTCCAGATTAATTTTACTTCTTGTGTATTTTCAAGTAAATTATTTTCCAAGTGTGTTTCCAAATTCTCAAGTTGTGTAGATAAAGTTGTATTCAGTGTATGAAATACTATAGACCATCACAGCAAAAAATTTGGGTAAGAACATGAAAAACTTTTCATACCTGTCAATAGCCAACTGATAGAGTCTAGTGGACTCTTCAAGGTTCCCCATCAACTGTTCCTTTCTCCCCCTCAAGTAATACACCAAAGAACTTTCAGGGAAACTGGTCATGAGCTTCTCTATCACTTGATTAACCACAGCAAGCCTCTCTGCATTGGCACTGCCCACTCCAGTGGAATAGATGAACCCAGGATAAAGATGGTACATTAAAAGGATCAGTCCACAAGTGTATGTCCTGACTGTTTGAGGCATTAGAAATCCACTTAGAAGTTCTCTATGTCCAAAGTTCCTGTCTCCTGACAGTCCAATCAGTTGCAGCATCTTCAGGTTCTTGGGTGGGATTAGGGATAGCATAAGGTTGAAACTACCCAGTCCTAGTTTCACACCAGTGATGAAGTTTTCTTTGGACTTGGTTGATGACCATTGAGCTCTGGAAAGTACCACTGATGTTGAGTTCAGGTATACAGTACATTTAACCTCTGCACAAAATGGACTTAATTTGTTGTTTGAAAAGTCTGACATGCAAATTCAATTATTAAAAATTTAAAAATTTTACTCATTTCCATTAAAACTTTAAACCAACAGAAGTTTGTTATGTGGATTTAGTCTGTTGCACAAGAGGAAAAACTGCCTCCAGAGCTGGTCTGTTGTGCAAGAGGTCCATTGTGCAGGGATCAACTGTACTTGAAAATTACCTATGTTACTGGGGCTTCATAGGCTAACAAACACAATCTGTTCAAGGAACTCCTTCTTAGCTGGAAAATTTATAAGCTGGACTTTGTTTTTTTCATAAATAATTTCAAAGCTTTTCAAAGCGACATTTTTGAGACTTATTTTTTATAGTACAGTAGTGTTATGATGGTACTAGCCAGGAAAGCTGAGGAAAAAACACAAGATCATGTTTACTTGCACTGAAACTTTACATGTATTTCATGTGGAGTTGTTTCAATAAAAATGTGCCTGATAATCATATTTATGTTGATTGCAAACACCTGAAAATGTAATCAGTTGTATTATAATTTTTTAAGGTAACCATGATCTTTAAACACTGCATTACAGCAATCAAAATGGAAGGGAATATGGCATGTTTTATGTTAAACAAAAATTATATGATAATTCATTTTTATGAAAAAATAGCTATTGAAGCTATTTTTCAACAATGAAACACACTTTTCCACAGTCATCTATGAAACATTTACCATGAATTTTGAACAATACTGTACTTTATCCACAATAATTACATTTTCTGAGATGGGCTTCTTTGAAATGCCTAAACATAATTAAATTTATATGAGATTAAAAATACTGTGTATAATAACTGACCTACACTTCGAAAATGTGACGCATAAATTCAAATATTTTACGCTCGATTCCTTGTACAGTTTTTGGGAGATTTTTGATGGAAATTTTGTCTAGAATTTTCGGAGCAACCCAAAAATTTCTTGAGTAATTTTTGTTAAAAGCCCGTTGAACTATGCTGTTTTTCACCTATTAATAATGCTTTGGCATTCGATGAAGATGTTGTGACACCGTCGCATTTGTATGACGGCTTTGCACATTCCCATGACACTGTCATCCTGAGACACGGAAATAATGGTCTTGTACAACGTCACTTCCGCAAAACACAATTCCGCGTGTCTTTCCGGGTCTGTCAAAGTCGCCAAATCAATCGCCTTCTTGAAAATATTGAATTGCCCGAACGAAGATTGTTGTTTGACGATTTCCTGGCTCCTGTGTCTTTGACAAGCCGCGATGCACGTCGTGAGAATGAGCGAAGTGTCGTCAATGTCGCGGGGATCGATCGTCAGCACGGCTTGCACCGTTTTCAGGCCCCCGTAGGCCATTGCGTGATACGAGCTGACGTGGTGTCGGTCTTTGACTAGAGCCTCGCCGCGAGCGATGTCGTTGTTGAGCATGAAGGCCGTGCTCGTCATGGCGGCCTCCATGCCTTCGTTGAGGTCCTTGAGCTCGGACTTGTAGCGGTCTTCTTGCTTCTTGAGGATCAGCCTGCGCATGGTGGCTGAGGACGCGTCGAGATTCATTCGATTAAGGAAAACCGTGAAGGTTAAACCGGGAATTTCCAGCTGGTGAAGGTCTCCGGGGGGGTGGCTGCGCAGCGACATCTAGAGAACGTGTGGAGAAGTGCCCGGGGCAACGTTGACTTCTAGAGTGGTTCCCAGATGCCGCACGGGGAGAGAATTTTTCGGTGAGTTTCATGGTTTTATTGTTCGGATTATATTTAACGCGTCTCTCAATACATTTGAGTGAGGTACGGTAAAGTTAAGAACGTGTGACTGCAGGAGCTTCGAATAGGCGGATGAAAACAGTAATTTTTAATGTGTAAGGTAGTTCTGCATGACGCACTATTTGCAATTATGTTTTTCAATTCTGATGTGTAATTACAATATACATCATCCAATCTTTGTATACCGAAACATTGGGGACCTTAATTACGCATTTGTCATTAACTTGGTGATTCAACATTGCAATGACGTGAAGGAAGGAATATAACACAAATATCTTCAGAAACAGAATGCATGAATTTTAAAAATCAAATTTGTTTTGTCTTTTCTGGCAAACAAGAACTGAACTGTTCATTCTGCTTATGGACTTAACACTATAAGTGAAACCCTCCCTCTCACTGTCAAATTTTTGTATTTTTTGGAATCCCATTGTTATCTGACAATTTGTTTTAGGGGCATGGGATAACACCATCAAGAACAATGTAATTTATTAAACAATTTGAAGACTTAACTCAAAAGAAAACAACTGTCATTCTGAGAGTTTTTATTTTATTTTTGGGACCCTTAAAAAAGATGAATAAAAATGAAAAGGTTGCTCTTCAAAAGGAAGTGAGCAAATGTACCCTTGTCACCAAGTTCAGCATTATCCCGGTCAAGTTTATTCATTCAGCAGTTTACAGCCCAGAATATCATCAATTTTATTGGCTTTTGATCCATTTTCTTCTAGCAAAAGATATAATGCTCCTAACTAAAAAATTCCTAAGTAACATTTTTTGGGGTTCCTTATATTCGAGGTTCTAATGAAAATTCAAAAAACATTCCTAAAGCTTTAATCAAGAGAAATATCACAGATCCTGCTTCGAAATAAAGATAACGTTTTACATGAAAGGCATAGTACATGTATTTCTTTCTTTCACATCATTGCAACCTTCATCATCATGCCTACATATTCCTCCATCGATTCCGACTTTTTGGCACTTACACCAGCCAGGAAAAAAAGCAAACAAAACGAACAACCAACGCAAAACGTAACACATAAACAGAGAGCTGGTTTTGTTTTTGCAAAAAGGTATATAGAAATTAAATAACATCGAACCTCGGCGAACAACGCAAACGTAACTGCTCAGTCCAAAAATATGGAGGCTGTCAAAAAAGAGCGCTGAAGAATAATCTTTGCGCTGTTGAAACATTTCTTTTTAGATTGGCAAATCTTCCTCTTTTTTTTCTTCTTCTTGCTGGAACGTTCATCGCCAGTGAAAAGTGGTTTGTTCTGAAGCTCAATTTGGGCAGAAAAATCGCATTCCACCGCATATCAAAAAACTGGGTTCAACAGAAAAATGTTGACCTCCACCCGAGCACCGGTCACTGTAGCAGCCAATGGTTCATAATAAGCAATTCTTTTTTCTAGCGATTCTTTTCCATCATTACAATTCATTCCCCCCCCTTTTTTTTGCTAATTCTCAACAAAGTTATTGTAATCATGGAGAAGAACCACTTTTTTTTTTCCTGGGGTGAAAGCGAATGTGTGACGGGTTTTCTTAAATTTTCTTTTTTTTCTCTCCAGCGAACAAACATCCTTCTTCTGATACTCAACCCTCCCTGCGCTGAGGATATGCAATAATAAAAAGGTTTGTTCCACACCCACAATCCAGCGCTTATAATTTGCATATTTTCCCCATTCATTATCCCACATGCAGTTTTGAACAGAAATTCTTCCCTCCGACTATAAAAAAAATTCTTTATAATCCGGCATCACAATAACTTCGAAAATAAAAGCAACTTCCAAAGCTAGCTTTTAAGATTGCCTCAACGATTTTCTATATGACGATCAAAAGTGCAGCTCATTACAAAAACCCAACCAACAATAACACACAATTTTCTGACGCGACGGGGTAAGAAAAGATTGTACCTTTGAGTTGAAACAAAGAGGAAAATGTATCATTCATTCAATCCAAACATTCATTCCTTCCGCTGAGGAAATGAAAAAGCCATTCAATTGATGAAAAGCAAGTTGAGGCCAGTTGTAGTTTCTCGCAGTCCTGTTTTCATCCGCTTATTGTCTCCTGCAAGAAAAGAGAACAAAATTGCGCATTGAAGAGAATAAATTTTGAATAATTATTTAATAATCATCAATCAAGGTAGTCATTAAATCCAATATTCCCAAGTGAAATATGTCTTAGACTAAAAAAAAATTGTAGCAAATACTTCAGTCTTTTCCTCTCACGACATATATTTGCTGATATTTCAATATAGATTGAAGGGATGAGATGCTAGATAATTAAATAGGAAACTAATCAATTTTTTTTCTTCTTATTTTCCAGCTGATCCGGTGAATTGCAAGGATTTTCAGGAAGAAAACCAGTTTCGTGGCGAAAGCACCATGCTCAGGAGATTTTTAGCCGATGGAGAGGGACCTGTACTTCTGTACTGTATTTTTTTTCATTGTGGGGTGGGTGGGTACCAGTGAGCCAAACAAATAGTGGCCGGATGTTGGACGCCATTTCTATGGCTACTTTGTGGTGCCGAATTGTGCCAGATCATTGAGGAAATCATCCTCGTCAATTTGTGAGTTAGAGGGGAATGCTGAAGAATACTAATGGATTTTCAAATTTCTGCTCCATGCATAAAATTAAGTGCTATAAAAAAATGACAGAAGAATATGACATAAATGATTTATTTATCGCATGGACAGAAAAAAGAAAGATCCATCAGTATAAATCTTCAGTATTGCCCTTTAATTTCATGAAGGAGGATGGATGATGGACTCTGGTCTGGCACAATTTGGCACGGTCCAACATTCGGCTCTATTTGTTTGGCTCACTGGAATAAATGAGACGAATATAAAAATTTGTTTAATAACTTTTCAATATTATGGAAATTTGTTCTATTTTCAAAATTTTTATACAATTAAAATTGAAGATTATATTTTGAAAAATTCAAATTGGAAAACATTCCCATCTTGTTGTGTAAATATTAGTACAGTTATATCCATATATCATTATTAAATTATGTTTTTATAAGCTAGCTTTTATAAATATGCTTCAATAACTTGGTTGCATATAGTTATTTTCAAAAAACATACAAAAGTTTTTCGAATTGACTTGGGTTTTTCTAGAGTGATGTACCAGTTATGATGTAACCCATGAAATTGTAAGGTCGTGTATATTTTTTCAGTGCCAGATGAAGAAAAAAATATTTATTCAACCCAAATTTTCAATTTTTTTTTTGTTTTCATCAAATGAAAACTCAAGTCTGGTTTTTCGACGCATCATCCAAGGCCTGGTTTCTACCTGTGATATTTTTCTCATTTAAGGTTGGAAAACTTTACAATTGCACGAGCTAAAATTAGATATATATTTTTTTTTTCAGTGGTATCCTATACTCTCAAAATAACCAAAAATCTCAATAATGAAACTTATCTAACCATTATATTCTCTCACGACACGATCTTGCTGGTATTATTGGTCGCATTGCCAGGGTTGGTCTTCTCCTGTTTTTGTATGAGGGCCTCCACGAGTCGCATTCGGGCCTTGACTTCCTTGTAGGCTCTGTAAGTTTTGTCCATCGGGGATCTTTCTTCTTCACTCCTCGGCGGACGTCCGTTGTTGTCTTCGAAACCAACTTCGAAAATCCGGATTTGCCTCTTGAGTTCCTTTCGACGTTCGATCAGCGAACGTTGCATGCGTTCCAGGTCTTTGCTGTGATTGAAACAAGCCAATTAGCTAACATAATTGTAATTTGTTTACAATTTCAAAAATGAATTAGATCATGCGATATTGAAAAAGACGCTCTCAGCGACATCTATGCCGAGCGTCCCAAAATCTTCTGACAAAAGCGTCTATTCTCTAAAAACTTTGCAATGGTATTGATTTGCGTTTCGAAAATTCTTCTGAGTTTTTTCTACACTTCAAATTGTATTAAAAATTGATAATAAATCCCCTCACAGTAAATTTTTAGCAATACGGTACTCTCATAGGAGAATGTTTTTGCGCTAAAAAAATAATTCGAATTTAATGGAATGATGCGGGAATGGGTCAAATGTTCTAAATGATTTAAGGTAAAAGTCTTTGGTGGTATACGAGGGCAGTCCCACATGAACACGTCCTTGGTTATTTCTGAAGTGGGTATACATTTAAAAAATTATAATACTGTACTGTACTACACATATTTTTCAATTTATTGCATGATCAGTGGAAACTTTCCAGTTATGGCTAGACTTCTCCACCCATGTCACATAGTTCTAAAAAATTTGTCAGGCCAGCTGGAAATTGAAATTGTTTCAACGATTCTCTAAAGTATAGAAAAGATAACAGTTGAAACCAAAAACTATTTTAAATGTTTTAGCTGGTCTGGAAAAGTGGAAATGAAAAGTTTTGGTTGCAGATAACTATTCATGGAATGGAAAGGAAAGCAACTGGAAAGTTTTCACTTATCATGCAATGAATTGAAAAATGTTTTCAAGAAAAAAAAAACCAGAATCTTGCAGCATCATGGGCTATATCATAATTTTCTTTAAAGTCATGACTACTCTCAAAATAACCCTAAGTCGCGCCAGAGTGGGACAACCCTAGTAAAGTTAAATTTCACGTAAGGTGTTCATGAGGTTGTTTCACTTTTCACAACAAACTCAGTAAATAATTTTCCAGTATAGTTGGGTAAATTTGAAAAGCTTTTATGTAAGGTTGATAACTTCACCTTTCTGCATAATGCTTTTAAGAAAACTCATGTTTTTTTATATTACTGTACTTCATTGAAGAAACAAATTTATGAAAAAAATGGCATAAATGGTTGGACTGTACTACTAAAGAACATGGCAGTACTCACATTGGACCTTCATGGTAAATGGTCATGTCAAATTCAATCTCCACAGGAGGAGGGGCTTCTCTCACAACAACAGGCCTGTTCTTGCCATTGCTGCCACTGCTGCTGCTGCCTGCTTCTACATCTGCCACTTGAGTCCCTCCTACACCGGCTCCATTGTTCCCATTGCCTCCTCCAACAGGCAACTTCTCTGTTTTTGGGAACTCCATGGCAACATGCTCAGGGATCGGGATCAGATTTGTGTTTGGCTTTGACTAGAAATAAAAATAAAAAAAATCAAATGATGGGTACAGTCAAACTTTGTCAAGACCTCAGCAACAACCAATTCATTTTGAAAAAAAAAACATATCTTTTCTAATGACAAAAACATTGGAAACTTCATGTCAAAACTCCATCTGCCAAAAATATCAACGCCTCAAATGTACTCCAGCATGCCAATAAATTTTTTTATAGCCTGCCAAAAAGCTTCAAGTTTCTGCTAGAGGTTTCAAAAATAAAACAGAAACATAAAGATGACATACTTCACCTCTTGAGAACATTAGTGATACATTATTTAATTTACACATCCCATGCTTATTTTAGAAGAATACAAATCAATCCTATTTTCAACTATAATTAATTTCCACATTATTTTAAATTTTCTGGGTAACCACCAACCCCCTTTTAAATTGCCAACATGCCATAATTTACTCATCCCGCCTTTATTTTGATATTTTTCTTGAAAAACAAAGAATTTTATTTACAATTCATCTCAATTTTCATAGTCTTGGTTGTGCCTTGTGAACGTTGAAAAGCGGCAAATAAAGTGTTCTGTTCATTCATTCATTCATTCATTCATTCAATTTTCATATTAAACAGATGGTTCTTGACAACTATTTTGTCTGCAAAAATTTTATTTTTAGAACAAGTGTTTTTGAGGCCCCATCGGGGTTTCCAACAAAATTCTCTCTAAAAAAAATTTTTTTCTGGTCCCTTGAATTTTGTTGCAGCAATAAGAAACCACCTGTAATATCTTTTCTTATATTCATCAGTTAAAATGCCACAAGACTCACAAACAAACAAACAGTGGCGGCTTATCGATTTTTGTGTTTACCGTAGTTTAATTTCCATGAAAAAAAAAAAAATTACCATTCCCAGACGCACAATGGTCCGTTTGACAGCCCTGTAGCGGTCATACAAAGTCCACACTATTTTCTTGTCCTCTGGCGTTCCAGGGCGACCGTGTTTACTTTCCAGGTAGACCATTGCGGTTTCTCGCAAACATCGCAGGTGCTCGTCTATTTCCGACACTGTCTTTTCCAGGTCACCGGCTGGGTACTTGGCTTTGATGAGACCTGCCCTCGCAAAGTCCACTATAAACAGGACAAATTGATACGAATGACAGAGAGAGAGAGAGACAAAAACACATTGACCGGATTGTGAAAATCATTTCCACGAAGAAAAAAAAAAGGTTTTGATGTATTTTGAAATGAAGACGGAGACTAATTGGGCAAATGGACCCTTACCTCCAAGTTTGGCATCCTATCAACTCATTAAGAAGCAATTTGAGGCCCAGAATATCACCAATTAAAATTTCTTGCGACTCTTCTTTTTTTCAAACAAAAATGCTTGTTTCCCTAACTTGAAACCTCCTCAACTCCAAAATTTTCAATGGTCCTTGAATTTAGACAAACATTGGTTAAAAATTTTAAAGAGTCATTCAACCAAAATACTGTATATTATATGATATTGTACTCTTGATAAGCAATCATCTCAAATAAGTATGGATGAAGCAAATTTTAAGGTTTTTCAAAACAGCTAGAATTTTTGCTCTCATAATTGATACCCATTTGAATGGTAACGTACTCATATATTTTTGAATATTGCACAAAAATATGCGCAAACATATTAAATATTGGGTACTTTCCTGTTATCTCAGTACCTACTTTCCGTGCACCTACCAGAAACTGTGAATTTCATTTTTCCGCATTCTGCTTAAAATCGATTTTGGCCGGCGGTTAGGTAAAGTTAGGTTAGGTTATGTTAGTTACAAATATCTTTTGATCAACATAACCTAACCTTACCTGAATAATGTTCCCAAAATCAGTTTCAGCAGAAACCCAAAGAAAGCAGAAAATGATTTTGGGAGGCAGTTAGGTGAAGTTAGGTCAGGACAGGTTATGTTAGTTACAAATATCTTTCAATTAACATAACCTGACCTAACCTAACCTAACCTAACAAATACTGAATTCACAAGACAAAGAAAAATGGGCACTGAGATAACAGGAAAGTACCAAATATTGTATTGACACCAACCTGCACGAGACCCAGCAGAGTTTGCAGCCAAAATAACCAAGGCAGTTGCTGGGGATGGGTCATCAACCAGTCGCTTCAGCTCAGCCTTACACTGCCTCAGTTGAACCACCAAAGCCCTCATTTCAGTGCTGATCATCTTGTCTGCCTTGGAGGGCTTCACTCCATGCACCTTCATGAAAACCTCTTCCTCAGCAACCAATTTTCTCTTCAGCTTGGATGCTCGTCTCCTGATCAGGGTAGCTGTTGAAAATTGACACAGAATTTAACCAAAATTAATCCAGGTGTCATCAGAGAATTGCAGATGTAAACTGGCTGAGAAATAGAAAAGGTGTGAAGGTTGCGATGCTTCAACTAAAAGAAATTTTTGCACAGAATAAGTTCTTTTAGTGCAACTTTATTGCTTTATTTATTTACTCAAGCACTGTACCACACAAACCTTTTTTTTCTCTCAAACTTTAGAGGGAGAAAAGGGGATGTATTTTTCAAAAAGTTTTTAGTTGGTACAGGTGGTACATTCCCATTGGACCATCCTGTAATTTAACAGTCAAATTTGAAGGGATGTTCAGTTGCAATTTGAACCTTGCCACACAACTTGACCTGCTTTGGCCAATTTTTTTTCATTTTTGTACTGAAATTTTTAAAATTTAACAAAGTGTCTAACAATTTGACTGCTTTGCAAATCTACCCTAGTTTGGCAATGGATTAGGGTCAAGGTACCACCTGTACTTTAATGCATATGCTACCAAATCTGGCCAGAAACTGCAAAAACTTAAATTGTGCTAAACCATCTCATAATTACAATAGAATTACAATTTTTAACTTGAATTTTGAGGGACCAGCAAAACAAATTAACTCAAGGAGGATTTGACTAAAGGAAACAAGCATTCTTGATGTGGGAAGCATAGAAAAATTGCAGGAAATTGAGAATGGCGATATATTGGGCCTTAATTATTGCTTCTTAAATGAATTGAACGGATGCTGCACTTGGAGGCAGGGGTTCATTTGCCCAATTAATCTTACACTTCCTTTCAAAACACATAAAGTTACTTTTTATTGCTTTTCTATTTCCTGTGTCAAGAAAATAATAGCCAAAAGGCCTGAGAAAATACAAGTTAAGGAGGGGTTTCAGAGGAAACATCTTCAAGTTAGAAAGGTTTTCAATACATTGTTTCAAAGGAAATTCAGATGGGGACTTGAAAAAAAATACAACTTAGGGAAGTTTGGGTTATCAAGGTTGAATTCTATAATAATTAATAACCCATCTTCATTAGTCTTGAAATGGAAATTCCGACTTCAAGAGGCGACATCTGTCGCATCATGTGAATCTCTCTTGACAATCAGCATTTAATTAGGAATTTTTCCAAAAGACATCCAAAAAAATATATCTCCCAAAGTAAACAGTTGAATCGTACCCGCTTGATACGCTGGGTCATTCTTCCGTCTCGTGTTTGCCGGAGGGGATGCTCGACGTCTGAGCAAATTGTTGTTGTTATTATTGACAACGCTTTTGCAATGCGATGGCAGGGAAGCTGGGTCAGTGTAGTCGTCATCCTCGTCATCGTCGAAAGACGAACACGGTTTCGCGTCACGTCGACGCACGTCGTGGTCCGAAGTCCTGTTGTCAGCTGCTCTTTGCTTCATATTCTCTTCCTCGCGCGGGATAAGGAAACTTGACCTCGGCGAGAACATCACTTCATCTTGCGACTAAATAATAAGAAACGACGACATTTTTCAAGTGGCAAAATTCGATTCAAAAGAATATACATCTTTCTTCAACTTATAAATGGTACAGCTCGTGAAATTCTTCGCGACTTTCGACTGGGTTCAGCAGACATTTTTTAGACGAATACAGCAGCGAGTGCGCGCGCGGGAGTTTCGGGTAGATGTCGCACTAATACGGCAATCTCGAATTTTGAAACCAGAATTTGTCTTTTTACCTGAACAGCTCGTTGGGCAACAACAGGAGGATCATCCAAATCCATCGAAGCTTGCCACACTTTAATCTCTTTCTCTTCATTAGTCTCGTCGCTTTTGTTATCGTTGGATGGAGATGATGAATGTGGCTGACCGAGATTCGGTTCCCTGTTCTCTTGATCGTTCTGAAAAGAAACAAAAACTCAAAATTCACGAATGCTCTGCAATATGCACAATAACGCGGGGATCATTTTACAGCAAACGAGTCAATGTTCGCAAATCCAACACCTTCTACAAGACGAAGTTTCTTTTCTGAAAAAAAAAAAAACATGCCGCTGAGAATTTTTGTTTCGACATGCCGGGAATTTCTTGAACGACAATAAAAATCATAATAATAACGAGGTTGATTTCTGATTAGCTACAATTTGTAAACTTTGGTTCTGTCGACAGAAAATGGCAAAATTAAAATCATAATTTCGCCCACAAAATTTTAAAAAATATTTCAAGGACTCTTCATCCAAACACTGAGACATTTCACAAGAGCTGATTTCGGTAGAGTTTCAGTACTTTATTTTCAAAAGTCTGAATTTCCACCTCTGAAAGTTGCATAATATGTAATTGCAAACCATTCATGACTTAACATGCACTGCGTGACGCATTTCAAAAACAGCGCAAAATAAATTATTCATAAAACTTGGGTGAAATTTGTGCAGATGGGAACAAATTTAAAGTAGCAGAATAATCATGATGAAACTGCAGTGCTCCAATTTACGCACGAATTGCCGCAATTCAAGTTCGAGCTGAAACTGTTTTTTTTTGTGTGTCCTTTTTGATGAAAAACTTCGGGCCACGCCTTTTTTCATATCAGCAGAAGATTTAAAATGGAATGCTCTTAAACACGGAATTTCAGGATTTTTTCGCGGTTTCACGTTTTACCCAACATTTAATTTTAATTTATGTTTATCATGAGCATTTGAATTCTTCTCGAAAAATATGGCGAAATTATGCGTAAATTTAGTTTTCAATTAATGACAAATTCAATATTCTTCCTCAGTAAAAAAAATAAGAGATTTTGACAAGGTATTTTCGATAATTCGGGTTGACAAGGAGCTTATTTTTATGCACAAAATCGTCAACACGGCATTTTTCGGGGGATCTCATTCTTGGACTTGAAATGAAAAATTCAGGTGCTTCCGAAAATGCGCACAAAATAATAATAATTTTAAAATTGGCAATAATCCCGGACCTGGTCAAAGCTGGAACATGAAGAATCGCTGGAAGGCCCAGAACCCGAGCCCGAAATTTTCTTGGGTCTTTTCGACGGGCTCGAATGATGATGATGACTGTGATGATGTCTTCCGCTTTTCTTCGACTTGATTTGCGTCAATGGTCTGGACGAACGAAACGCGGGAATTTCTTCCATTCTTTCCATGGCTCGTTTGGAATCAATGTCCACATCGTTGTTGTCATCGTCCACGACCACGACAACCACTTCGTCGTCCACGTCGTCCACTTCCGGGTCAGCCTGAAAATAAAATATATATTTTTTAGTTATTTATTCAATTTCAGAGAAATTCTCAATCTGTGCTCCGTGGAGCCCCAAAGGGTTCCTTCAACTTTTCGCAGGGGCTCCGCAAATGTTTGGGGGAAATTTGATTCAGCTTCAAATGAATATTTTACGATATCTCACACGAAATCGGAAACAACTTTTTTATTTTTAAATTCTCGCCCAAACAATATTTTCGAGAATTTAGAGTAGGTTCGAAGAACTTGATTGCAGAATACAGAACTCAATTTCAACACGGGCTCACGGAAATAAATCCATTAAAAAAAAAAGCAAGATACTCACGTGATTTATTCTTCCTTTTATTATTTTCAACCCCCGAAGAAAATTTGCGCAATTTGACATTTCAGAAGACGGTAGGAAAAATTCGCGACCTGATTACAAGCTTACAAAGGGTTGGGCGAGAACTTTATTTAGGGGTTTTACTTTATTTTATTTTTTCAAATTTATAAAACTCCAACCTTGACGCACACACTTCGCAAATTTAGGCCAAGGAACGGCATCTTCAAAGAGATCGATGAATTTTGGCACCGGGCTTCGTTTCGGTACTTACGAGCCAAGAAAATTTTCTGCTAATTGTTATAAGAGACAGAAGATAAACGAAGTTTTACGAATTCTCCTTCCAAATAAAAAATGATTCGTTAAAAAAAAAGGAATGCTAAGATTTTACTCGAAGCCCAGAGAAACTTTTTAGCAAAAAATAAACGTTGATTCTTTGCTCGAAAGAGGCCGAGAAGTTTTTGAAAACGTTCATGAATAATGCTTTTATTCTACACTTCTCGAAGTACTTTTCCCAATGTAATCATTCTGGCACAATATTTTAAAAATGCGTATTTAATATTAAAATTGTAGAATTCAACACCTTGAGCAGCTATTTCTTTCGTTTTTTCCTCTCATTTTCCTATGCGGCAGCAGAATCGAACAATAAATTTTGAAAAAGCGAAACAAAAACGACAATTCCTTCAAAATACTTTTGGAATTTAAACTTGATTCTTGTGCATGAAATCTTCGTCAAAAAATGGAAAATTCCGACAAGGCGTGAAAAATCTATCACGGAAAATTCCCTAGCTACTCGAAAATTTAAATTTTGTTTTAATTCAGCAGGGATTTTATAATTGCTTTTCTTCAGTTGAATTTCACCTCAATGACGGTGACTTCGTCAACAGATTCAATCAAGTTTGAATCAGTTTCCAGAATTGTCTCAGCTTCAGGAGACGCAGACACTCGCTTCGACGGAGGAGGCGGTCGACACTTGAGAAACAGCTCTTCACAATCGCCCTCAAGGTCCATCAGTGGTCTAAAATTCATAAACGAAATAAATAACGAATAAATAAATTTTTAAAAACACACACACAAGTTTTCTGCTAAGTGTATGAAACTTCAAATTTAATTTCAGACGGAATGGTTAATTGCTGCGCCCTCAACAAACAAAAATAATTCAGAAAAGAAATTATTTTTGTCTCTTGGATAGATGTCACTACTACAGGTGGTACTTTGCAATTTGATCATCCTGCAATTCAACAGTTGGCAAATTTGCTGAGAGGTTGACTCGCAATTCAACCCTTGCCCCACAATTTGACCTGCTTTGGCCACTTTTTTTGCAGTGATATTTTTGAATTTCACAAGATGTCTCGCACTTCAACTGCTTTGCAATTTGACCCTGGTTTGGCAATGGATTAGGGTTGAATTGCAAGGTACCTTCTGTTCTGGTACAAAAGACCCACATGCCCTTTTAAAACAATTTATTCATTTTAATCAATAAAGAGAAACATAATACCGATCAGGGATTGGAGCAAAGATCTTGTCGCAATCATTGATGAGGGCCACAACAACCTCCTGGGTTTGCTCGCAGAGCTTCTTGGCCAGGGGCAAGTCGATGACTTCAGTAGGACTTTGGTGGTGCTGCTGCTGCTGATGATGATGATGATGTTGTTGTTGTTGTTGTTGTTGTTGTTGCTGCTGGCTAGCTGCCATCATCTCCATGGCATCCCCAAGGCTAAACAGACATGGCGCAAACACCATGCCCAAAGACCTGCAGGACAAATGGGAGACATGAATCAGCCATGTGTCAAAACATTCTTATAAAAAAAAGAGTCTCAAATGTCAGCAGCCTTTTTGTCTCTTTCTTGTTGTTGGGTAACTAATGGTCATGTTTTTCTCCTTGTTATGCTTCCAGTTCTATCTATTTTAATTTTTTTGATGTTCTTTGAGATTAATTTTTTACAATCCAGTGGTTCCCAGCCACACTCAGACATCATGTGCAAATACAGTACAGTATATAGTTTTTTTTTTCAAAGTTTTTCAATGATGGAGCATGTCACATGCGTAATGTTCAAGAGTAATCTCACTTCTGTTCCACTGATCTAAACAATAAGCCACACCTCCAGGTAATTAATATAACTGATCTTTGATTGTTTGGCTTCATCAGTGTTTTGCTTAGACTCAAGTCCTTTGCAAAACCACTAGAACAGTGTTCCCAACCTTTCATTTGGGATCTCAGACCAGAAAATTTCTAGAAAATTATTTGGAGACTGGCAAATTTTCAAAATTTTCTGAGGACTGGCAAAAGTTACAAAACATTTCTGCAGACTTGAAAAAGTTGTGTTCAAACGCATTTATGGCAAGTATTTTGAAATCTTCAGCTTTTTTGCAAAAATCAAGTTAAGAACCAATGAAGCAGCTGAAGTGGAATGTGCTTCCAAAAAAATTAGAAAGGTGGGCTTGAAGAAATGGTTTCTCAGAATGAAAAATTGTTAAAATGTATTTTCTGCGAGTGAAAATTTCTCTGAAGTTCAATTAGGAGAAAAGCCAACTTTCATTTTTCATGAGAAAAATTTCAACTGCCATTGCGTTCCCAAAATTTTAGCAACGTTTTAGAATAAATTGTGGATTTAAAATATATTTGCATAAAATTGAAACCCTGCTTATCTCTCATTTAAAAACAAAGTTGTAGTTTTATTTTTAAATTCGCGAAATTTTAATTTATTTTTTTGGCAGGAGAATATTATTATCTTGGGAAATAAATTCTTCATTTGATTCGTTTCTTCGAAATTTTGTTTTGAAGGGACCCACTTCATCGACAAAAATGTTGAACCAACGCTTGTCAATTTAACTTTCGGACGACTTAACCGATACACTTTGTTCTCAATTTTTCAAAAATTGTGACGGTGATTTCAAATAAATTGTGGATTTAAAATATATTTGCATAAAATTGAAACCCTGCTTATCTCTCATTTAAAAACAAAGTTGTAGTTTCATTTTTAAATTCGCGAAATTTTAATTTATTTTTTGGACAGGAGAATATTATTATCTTGGGAAATAAATTCTTCATTTGATTCGTTTCTTTGAAATTTTGTTTTGAAGGGACCCACTTCATCGACAAAAATGTTGAACCAACGCTTTTCAATTAAACTTTCGGACGATTAAACCGATTCACTTTGTTTTCAATTTTTCAAAAATTGTGATGGTACGAAAAAACAGGAAACGAGTACTTGAAACAGTCGAATAACAAATACTTGGTTGACACGTTTCTGGTCGGACCCAACAGGAATGTACGTCAGGCATACTACAATACTTTACTGTTATACTGTACTCTAGAAAGAGAAAAAACGTCAGGTATTTAGTTTACATTCCGAGCATGCCCAACAAGTTCAACTCGTGCACTCCGAATAAAAAAAAAAAACTTTTTCTTCTCTTTTCCAACGCATGAATTTTCGCAGACTTCAAAAGATTCGCGGGAAGCAGCGGAACGGTTCGGTTCCCGGGGTTCAATCCCCTTTAAGCGGAAAGGAATTTTCAATTTATTTTTTCTGTTCCCCCAAAAGAGAGAGAGAAAGTTGGTGAAATAATTTCGTGCCTCGACTTACTTTTCACTCATGAAATTCTTTTCTTGCTTCGCGGCAACCTTTGCGAGAAACTCCATCAGATACTTCAAAGTTGCAAAGTTCTCCGTCGGCAATGCGATCACCAATTCTCGCAGTTTTCCCGTCCCTTGTTGCTCGCCTGGAATAAATTTTGAGGAATAAAATGTAAAAAAAAAAACATGGATTGAATGACTGCTAAATTGACGTGAAAATTAATTTACAAGTTAAACTTCTATATGTGAGTGGAAAAAAAAACTAGGCCGGACATTCTTAAGGTCAGGAATGATTTTGATGAATAAAATGTAAAAAAAACAATGGATTTAATGACTGCTAAATTGACATGAAAATTAATTTAGAAGTTAAACTTCTATATGTGAGTAGAAAAAAAAATTAGGCCTGACATTTTTAAGGTCAGGAATGACGACGGGATAAGATTAAATTAATTCTTGGCAGGGAAAATTGCGCGTGCTTCATTTTTTTTTAAACAAAAAATAACTCATGATTTTCAATGAATTATTGAAGATATTATTTCTGCACAGGGAAAATTGCGCGTCCTTCATTATTTTTACGAACAAAAATTAAATCGGGTGATTTTCAAAGAATTATCAAACGTTTGATAAAAATTTCATTACGCGGATTCAAGAATTTCAAGAAAAAAAAATTGAGATTTGAAACAGGCCAACATTGGATAAGTCGGGAAAAAACAGAATTTTCATTCGACTCTTGAGAGATTTTTCACACCATGAATCCAATTTCTTATTGAACACAAATGCAATAAAATATTAATGATATCAAATAATTCACGTCGGAAAATCTGAATTTAATCTTTTTGTTTAATAAATTTCCACTTGGATTACGTAGGATTTAAATTATCTTATTCCGAATCAGGGCTCTATAAAATAATGCACTCGATTAACTCGTAATAAAAAATTAAAATAAAACACGCTTTTCTGATTTTCCCAGGAATTCATTATGCAAATTTCCAGATTTCTGCCTGGTTTCCGTGATTTTTCTGGAACAATTTTCCAGATGAGAAAATGCTAAATTTTCCCAATTTTAAAATGTACTTCTGACATCAATTTTGTTTTTTTATTTAGTCCGTTTTCTGTTATTTTGGTGAAAAGTTCTCAAGACACGCTGCATTTTCCAACTTCGTGAAATGATTTCAAATTTCAGGGAAATTTGCGCGAAGTGTCAAAACAATTTTCCTTTAACTTGCAAATTATAAAAACGCCGACAATTTTACGGGAAATTTGTCAAAAGTGTTTATATTTTTCTCTGTTCTTCAGTAATTTTTTTTCCTGTGCCAAATGAAAAAAAAGCATTTCGGAATTTCGCAGCTTTTCAACTCACCGTCGGGGCGGCGACTCAACAAGGCGTCGACAAAGAGCTGAGTGGCGTCCTTCGGGATAAGCGGCTGCGGGAGTTCCCGAAGAAACATCTTGACGACGGCGGCCGACGGCGGGATGTCGCGCGGGGCGACCAAAACGTTCTCGGAAGGCAACACGGCCGCCGCCGGCGGCGGCGGCGGTGGCGTCCCTGAGCCCAACAACTCCATCTCCAGACTGGATTTCAGTCTGTTGATAGACTTTTGACTCGCGCTGACGCGGAATAAACCTTCCGTCTCGAGGCCTTTAAAAAAAAACACAAAAAAAGATTATAAATTTATAGACAAATAATAATCGATATGAGATTGAGAAAAAACTTTCGAATCTTTTTATATCCTCAATTCTACATTTGAATTATCGTTGTGGAAATAATCTGCAAGACTATTTTCCCCTCTTTTTTCACAGATTTTTCACAAAAGAGTGAGTCTCAAAAGAGAAAAACGTCAGAAGATCTGTTGCAAAAAATAAGCAGGTATCAAAACAGCACAGTGAGGTTTTATTTCATTGCATTGAAAAGGTCCAGCTAACCTTTATAACCATAAAAAAAACAAAAAACAGTCGTAATTATTCAAGTCAAACGCATAGGGATCAATGCAAAAATTCAAGTTTGGGAGGTTTTGAGTTACAAAAACAAACATTTTTGTTGGGAGAAAAATAAAAATTACATGGATATGTAATTAATGATATTCTGTGCCTTAAATTGCTTCTTAAATGAGTTGACAGGATGCTAAAATTGGAAGCAAAGGTTAGTTTGCCCAATGCATCTTTTACTTCCTTTCAGAACACATAATTACATTTGCATTGCTTTTCTTTTTCCTGTGTCAAGAAAAATTGCCAAAAGGCCTCCAATAAATTTGAGTTATGAAAGTTTGTAAAGAGAAAAGGCTTTGAGTTAAAAAAGAGTTTTAATGCGTTGTTTTGCAGGAAATTCCAACAGTGACTTGAAATCAATTTTACACAAGAAAATTCAACTGTAATTTGTACTGCCAATTTTTGGGGGGACCATCCTTTTGACAACTTAACTGCTGCCAGATGGTTTTGCCATTTATCTTTCAGCGCGCTGATCCACATTTGGTGCACCTTTCAGAAATACAATCCTGAAGTCTCAAAAACTTTGAAAAGAGCCAATAAATTGTGTTCAAAATAAGACACAAGCATTGGCTCAGTGAAAAATTCACAGAAATTCACTTTCCAAGGGATTTTTGCAAGAATAGACACTTTGAAATTACACAAGACACACGCTATATTCTTCTTCTTTTTTGGCAAAATACACCGCCATTTTTCTGTCAAAAATCACTAGAATAAAATTTGAATTAACTTTGAGGGCTCAATTTTTAAAAAACCCCGTCTTTCGTTTCGAATTCATCCATCTGTTTTTTTTTTCCAACAGAAATGACCTCGTTTTGAGTATAGAAATAAAACCTCAACCACTTCAAGGCAAACACGCAATTTCCTCGTGAGAAAAAGCGTGCATTTATTTCCACGCACTTCAAAACTAACGAATCATGAAAGTCAGAATTCTGATAAATTATCTTCGTTTTATTTTTTCGTTTGAATCTTCAAGTACAGATTTCTTCGAACATTCGAGTCACATTTATATAGACGACATAAAACCGATAAAATTAAGATGATGCGAGGACGATTTTACGACCAGAATATCCACAGTCTCATTTTATGTGTATATATTTACTAGGGTTTGTGCACTTGAGCATCTTTCAAACGATCAAAATTATTGTCTCTTCAGGCATTAGTAATTTGTTCTCGAGAAAAAAATTAATGTTCTCGCACAGGATTCCAAGAAGAAATAAAACTGTCATCATTATTCAAGAAGTATAACTCCAAATCGCGTCAATAACAATTATGGTCTCTCATACCCATCAAGCGAAGTGCTGTTCAAAAAATATAATTCAAAATTCACTAATTTCATTTTCAAGGTGTAACTGTTTGGAAAAAAATTCCTGTAAAAATAAAAAATAAAATCACCAATTCCAGACGCTGAATTAGTTTCAATTTTTTTTTGTGGCACTGCAAACCCATCAAACCAAGGAAAAAGCACCAGATATGAATTACCATGTCATCCAATGTTTCTTTGAATGTCCTGCATTATGTTCAAAATACTCAATTTCTGTGGAGTTTCCTCCAACATACAGTGAGACCCCCCCACATGCAAACGCCTCGACTTGAGGACAATTCTACTTAGGGACATTTATTTTTCAATAAAAAATCACAAAAAAGGCCCAACATATGGACATTGATTCAACATGAGGACATTGCATGATAAAATTGCGCACACATTTTAGGAAAATTGACTTTTATTAAGCTTAATTGCAAGAGACAGATATTTCCAACCCTAAGATCTATGCAAGAAAAAATATTTGGTACTTTTCCCATCACTTTCCCATCCATTCAGCTAATTAAAAAAAATTACCTATAGCACAGAGGGACTGCCTTCTCTCTTTGTGAATTGGATGTTATTTTTACAGAGGCCAATATTTCAATGAACTGTACAGCAGTATACAATTCAATGCTCCAAATGTTCTTTTTGGGTTGAAAAGATATTCCCTGAATCAAATTCAAGCGGCAAAAAAATTTTTCATGGAATTCTGAAGAATATTTCTTCCATAAAACACCAATTAAAAATTATATAATGTAAGTCT